TCCTCTGCCTGCTATTTGATTGCTAAGAAATCTAGAATATATTTACCATGTAGCCCAGTATTATACTAAACTGTGAAGTTTGAATTCCCTATTCAGATCACTAGAATGTAAGCTGGATCCAAGCAAGAGTGACCAAAATACTACATTGTTTCCTGTGCTAAAAGATGTGCCTTTTGAGGACAGGGTATAATATTTTCTCATTAATTTCACCTACATATACAAATATGTATCCTGTGCCTTCCTTTTTTTGAGATGGCTCACCTACAGATGATCACAAAAGCTTATTTCATAGGTAACTTCCCCATCTTCTGGTTAGGACAAATGATCACTTTTACACAGAGCTCAGCAGTCTGGAACTTTTGTTTTGCTACCAGTAAATGCAGAGGATAATGGCCAAGATTTCCTGGGGTTGGATAGGAGAACATTTGGGCATATACAGCTTTTCAGTCTTATACACTAGGCCTGGAGTTCCTTTAGTGGGACTCCTGTGAATGCTTACAATAACATGGTCTTCTCTCCTCTCAGTGAACCATTTAACTGAGCTAATTAATGACAAACGCCTCACAGGTGAGCCTTCTGTTGAAAGAGTCTGAAGACAGATAATCAAAACGCAGACAGCTGAAGGAGGCTTCTTGGACAAAAATATTTGGAGTATAATTGGACTGACCTGTTCTTGTGTGCGGGTGCATGCAGCTCCCTTCTGTTAAAATAGTCTACTTCTGCCCTAGCTAGTTTAGCTCAGTGGATAGACGGCCAGCCTTCAGACTGAAGGGTCCTGGGTTCAATTCCAGGCAAGGGCACATAATTGAGTTTCAAGTTCAATCCTTGGTTGGAGGGCATGTATAAGGCAGCCAATCAACGATTCTCTGTCATCGTTTATGTTTCTATCTCTTTCTCCCTCTCCCTTCCTCTATGAAATCAATTTTAAAAAATAGTCTGCTTATTTAAAGATAGTTGAAATTTTTTTGACAGAGTTGCTTTATTGTCTTGTCATGTGTACAGATGGAATGTTTTCCTCTGAGATTTTACTCACAGCCCATTTCTCAGTTAAAGAAGAAAACCCTATTTCTGTCAAGTTGTCGGTTGGAAGAGAATTTCTATAGGGCATTTCATTTTGTAGCATGTGACTGGTACCCCAGGAAGGTATTCTTTTTACTCTCTGCTACTGTGGCCAAGGAACACCTGAATGGTATCTGAAAACAGACATCTCTTTGCTGTGGCCATTCAAGCTGGCTCTTTTGTGGCTGAGTGCCTGGAGCAAACTAGCGAAAGAGTAAACCTAGGGACACCATTAGAAAATTTCATTAATATTTCTCTATTATATGCATGTGGGAGAGGAGCGATGGTTAGGACTGTTGAACCAGACTAAAGTTTACTCATACCAACCATTTCAGCACAATTAAATATTCCCATAACCTAATCACCATGCTGTGATCATATTCACCTAGTCCTGAAGCCTTTCTCAAAGCAGTTTTCTATTGAAGATTTCTCATTGAACCCTCCCAGGAATCCAGTGGAAGTTCCAATCATTAGGGACTGCCCTATGGATCAGTTTGTCAACAGCTATGCCAATTGCTTAGGTGTGTTTGGTCAGGTCAATTGCTTAGGTGTGTTTCCAGATTCCCTGAGGTTTATGGAATTGGAGTATTATTGGTTCAGCCAAATATAAACAGAGCCTAAGCAAAGTGACCTCACAGTTGTATGTTTTGTTTTGTTTTATGATTGGTGACCCTAAATTCACAGTAGATAACCAACAAAATACTTCAATTCATCTCTCTCAATTCTTTGATTTTGTTGTACAAGTCTTTCAAGTCTATTACTTTCTGAACCAATGCATTGTTGATTCCAAGCACTCTACCTCTAAAAATGCTTAAAACCAAACACTAAATAACACATTATACTAGTGCAGCCTTGCTTGGTGTCATCAAAGGACGGTGTTTGATAGCTCCCCTTTCAGTCTCCTATGAATGAAGCAAAAAATGATGAACATATCTGAAGATCTCATTCTTCACAGGATTTACTATATGCCCATTCAAGTAAGAGGACTATGTCTTAGTTAAGCCCATAAACAGAAAATACAAATCATTATATTGTCCTTTCTCCTGAAGAGAACTATAAGAAAAAAATTATGACAGCTGACATTTTATTAAATGTCACGAAAGCTGCCCCCAACTTTTGGGTTGGACATTCATGTCTTTGATGAATATGACTAAATTGTTTGAGCAGGAGAGGGATTCCTGCCTATTCTATAATGAATCAGCGATGTGTGTTGATGCTTCTCCAAGCATATGGAGTAGGTTTAGTATTCACATGAGTGCAAGGGTGATGCAACTTTGATGTTGCATTCACTTCAACTATGACTTAGAGCAGTGTTTCCCAACCTTCTCTCATGATGAGAATCACCTGGTGGAGTTGTTAAAACACAGATTCCTGAATCCCAACTAAGAAGTGCTAAACTAGAATTTTTGAGAACATATAGGTAAAATTGCATACCTAACTTAGTGCTCTGTATATATTGTAAAATCTGTCTTAGAGCACTAGTTAAGTATACAATTTTACCTATATGTTCCCAAAAATTCTAGTTTAGCACTTCTTAGTTGGGATCCGGGAATCTGTGTTTTAACAACTCCACCAGGTGATTCTCATCATGAGAGAAGGTTGGGAAACACTGACTTAGAGCACAGGTTCTCAGCCCTGATTGTACATTAGAATCACCTGCATTCTCAGGACCAGCCCTGACCCTGTTTTAGCTTGGGCTATCAGAACAAAATATCATGGACTTGGTGTTTTAACCAACAGAAATTTATTTTCTTACAATTTTAAAGGCTGAAAATCCAAGATCAGGATCCCAGCATGGTCTGGTTCTGGTGAGAGGTCTTTTGAGGCTTGCAAATGGACACTTTCTTGCTGTGTTTTTGTGTTCTCGCATGATGGAAAGAAAACAGTGATATCTCCTCATCTTCTTATAAGAACAACAGTTTTTTCTAATCAGGGCTCCACTTTTGTGACCTCATTTAATCCTAATAATCTCCTCAAAGACCCTTTCTCCGGTATAATCACATGGTGGAGATGAAAGCTTCAACATATTAATTTTAGGGGAACACAATTCAGTCCATTGGATACCCTAAACCAGTGGTTGGATACCCTAAACAGCTTGTGAGCCACATGAGCTCTTTGGCCCCTTGAGTGTGGTTCTTCCACAAAATAACACGGCCTGGGCGAGTCTATTTTGAAGAAGTGGCATTAGAAGAAGTTTAAGTTTAAAAAAGTTGGCTCTCAAAAGTAATTTCAACCGTTGTACTGTTGATATTTGGCTCTGTTGACTAATGAGTTTACCAATTAATTAAATCAGAGACTCTGAAAAAAGGACCCTAACAGCTGTTGTTTTAAAAGATCCTCGGGTGGTTCCAATATGCAGCCAAGTTGAGAACTACTAATTTAGAACTCTACTGCTAAAATTGCAGCCCATAGAACAGCAGCATCAATATCACCATGGAGGTCATGAGAAATGCACTCTTGGATCTCATCCATGACCTGCTGAATCAGAGTCTGCATTGTAATAAGATCCCCAGGTGATTCACATGCACATTACAGTTTGAGAAGTACTGATTGAGAGCATCTAATATGTTTATATTCTAGAGATTCTTCATCCTTATATAGTCAAGTTTTGTGAGCTCTTTACATACTATAGGATTATCTCCAATACCAGGTGCTTGACTATTCAGTCTTCTGACAATTGCTTGATGATACAGATTATATGAGGTAGTGAACTGAAGTCTGATCACTTTCTCAGTTGTCATGCACATTGCTGGGTTACCACAGATTCTCTTCTGAAAACAAGTATAGATAGTCCCTTTTTTCTGGTGATTGATTTGTTTTTGGATTGGTTTCACAGAATTATTTTCTCTCAAAACCATTTGCAGTTTCTTGGTCAGGCTATGTATTTCACTGAAATGGGTTGCTTAGTTTTTTATTGCAAAAGATTTTGTTTATGAAGAGGGTTTACTACCCAATCTAGATGCTTCATGTAAGTATTGCTCATACTGTTCATGCTTAGCTTTTTCCTTAGTTTCCATATATAAGACCACAACCTTTTTGTCTTGTTACAAGGTTGTTGTTAATTGCATGAAGGAAAAATGTTTCTCTTTGGCTCCAGGTACTCTGGACAAAGGTGTTCTTTGCTGCTGTAAAAATGTTTTATATTAGTTTCAATTGGGGAAGATGAAAATGTTTTGGAGATGGATAGTCATGATGGTCACATAACAATGTAAATTACTTAATGCCACAGAACTGTACACTTTTCTAATTTTATTTTTCAATTACAGCTACATTAATATTTTCTATTAGTTTTGGTATATAAGATAGTGGTTAGACAATCACAAGAACTGTATACTTGAAAATTAGTTGAACTGGTAAATTTCGTTAAGTAGTTTTACCAAAAAAAAAAGTGTTTATGCTTTTTATTTAAAAAAAAAACCCACACGATTTAAAATATGGTAATATTACATGCAATAAACATTAATATCTCAATAAAAAGATTTTAAATATAATAATATTACCAAAACTGTACTAACATAGTATAATATCGCAAAACATGTAGGTCAGTGGTCGGGAAACTCATTAGTCAACAGAGCCAAATATCAACAGTACAACAGTTGAAATTTCTTTTGAGAGCCAACTTTTTTAAACTTAAATTTCTTCTAACACGACTTCTTCAAAATACTCGCCCAGGCCGTGTTATTTTGTGCAAGAGCCACACTCAAGGGTCCAAGAGCCACATGTGACTCATGAGCCACAGTTTGCTGACCACAGATGTAGGCAATATTAAAAATCTTCAAAAAGCAGAATTACTTTTATTCTGAAACATTTTTTTCTGACTATTTTTGTTCATCAGTTTATGTTGTTCATTATATTCCACAAATGAGTGAGATCATGAGATATTTATCTTTCAACAAACTGGCTATTTCAGTTACCATAATGCTTTCCAGATCCATCCATGTTGTTGCAAATGGTAAGAGTTCTTTCTTTTTTACAGCTGCATAGTATTCCATTGTGTAGATCAAGCATGTCAAACTCAAAGGCTAACACAGGCCAAATAAATAAGTTTTAAGTTTATGTGGGCTGCAAAAAAGCAAAAGTTTCAATTCTCATAGACACAGGTTTATTTTGCTAGAGACGTGCTGAATACAAAGAGCTGAAATAAGTAATTGTTAACATAAAATAATAGGACATTTTAATAAAAATTAATATTTTTCTTTGAACATTAACTTACCAGACACTGAATAACTGCACAAATTAATGAGCATAACACAAATAAACCTATTTTTCTTGTTCTCCAAAAGCAAAGTATTTCCTGTTGCACACACCAAACATGTCAGTCCAAGACTAATGACATTACAATCAGCTGCTAAAATATTTGCTGCTAGAATTAGTGGAGAGAAATGGTGCACCTGCATGTAAGGAGTGTAAGGGAAATGAATGCAACATGAGTATGGTAATAAGCCATTAGTGAATATAGTAGTTCATTATTAATAACTAGAGGCCCAGTGCATAAAATTTGTGTGGGGGTGGGGGGGATGTCCCTCAGCCCAGCCTGTACTCTCTCCAATCTGGGATATCCCTCTCATAATCCAGGACTGCTGGCTCCCATATGCTCACCTGCCTGCCTTCCTGATTGCCCCTAACTTTTTCTGCCTGCCAGCCTGATCACCCCCTAACCACTCCCCTACCAGCCTGATTTATGTGTAATTGCTCCCCTGACAGACTATTTGCCCATAACTGCTCTCCCCTGCAGGCCTGGTTCCCTCCAACTGCTCTCCCCTGCAGGCCTGAGTCCCTCCCAACTGCCCTTCACTGCAGGATTGGTTGCCCCCAATTTCCCTCCTCTGCTGGCTTAGTCACCCCTAACTGCCCTCCCCTGTATGCAGGCTTGATCAACCCCAACTGCCCTCCCTTGCAGGCCTGGTCCCTCCCAACTTCCCTCCCCTGCTGGCCATCTTGTGGTGGCCATCTTGTGTCCACCTAGGGACAGGATCTTTGACCACATGGAGGCAGCCATCTTGTGTGTTGGAGTGATGGTCAATTTGCATATTACTCTTTTATTAGATAGGATAGAGGCCTGGTGCATGGGGAGGGGGGGTGGCTGGTTTGCCTTGAAGGATGTCCCAGATCAGGGTTGGAGTTCCCTTGGGGCATGGGGTGGCCTGGCCGAGGGTGGTTTGCAGGCTGGCTACAGCCCCAGGGAACCCAAGCAGAGGCCTGGTGTCTGGGGTTTATTTATCTTCTATAATTGAAACTTTGTAGCCTGGAGCGGAGGCCTGGCCCAGCCAGGGTGTGCAGAAAGCTTGGCTTCCTCCATCACTGGGGGCAAGCCTAGCCTGCTCTTTCCAGCTCCATGGCTGCCACCATTTCTGTTTGGATTTATGTATCTTCTATCATTGAAACTTTGTATCCTCAGGGGAGGCCTAGGCTAGCAAGGGCTGGCAGAAAGCTTGGCTTCCTCCATTGCCAGGGAAACCCAAGCCTCCCTCCTTCTCTCTGTGGCCGTAGCCATCTTAATTGGGTTTATTTGCATATTCACTTCTGATTGGCTGGTGGGCATGACTTGTGGGTGTAACACAATGATGGTCAATTTACATATTGCTCTTTTATTAGATAGGATTATGTATAACAGAATATTGTAAAAATCAAGTTATGAAAATTTTATTTAAAAATTTTTTACATACCATGACATTGGCTGGGCCACAAAAATTTTTATTGTGGGCCACACGCAGCCTGGGCTGTGAATTTGACATGCTTGGTGTAGAGGTGCCACTGATTTATAATCCATTCATCTGGTAATGGGCACTTAGGCTGTTTCCAAATCTTAGCTATTGTAAATTATGCTGATATGAATATTGGTGTCAGGAGCACACAGCAGTATCCCTGCACAAGCTCTGGTGCTCTGAGTACCTCTAAGTTGTTCTGAGTTCATGAATTCTTCTAAATTCTCCTATCCGACTACACCAGGGCTATTCTTCTGGAACCCTGCCCACTGTACTAACTGTTGGGAACTTAGTCCAAATTCCTCCTTTATTCTCTGCTAACCAGTAAAAGGTGTTGGATATGAGCCCTTCTACCTGGGGCTGGACCTCATAGGACACCAGGTATTAGAGAAGCCATGAGAGGTTTGGGTATATAAGAATGAGTCTTTATTGCTGAAGCCTGTGGCCATATAGCAATCAGACAAGAACAGTGGTCACAGCAAAGTCCATACAGGTAGTCAGCCAGACACTGGCTGGTGAACATATATCTTTAACATAAAGCAGCATCAGTCTCTGTACCAACAGTTATTATCTGAGCAGCCACACGCTGCCTCCTAGACTTAACGCCTCACATCATAGTCATACCTGAACTCTTCGGCTCAGCAGCTTCTCCAATCTTTCCTGCCCAGCTGCTCTCTCTCCATAATCCAGCAGAATACTTCTCACTCCCATCTCAGCCAACTAGACTGGTCAATAAACTACTTTTATACCATTTATACAAAAAAGGTATATATGCCAATAGTTACAGCAATCATATTGGCTACTGAAGGGTACAATGTACCATGTGTCCTTGAATTGTCGTTTTGATTTGCATTTCTCAAATGATTAGTAACTTTGAGTGTGTTTTCATGTCTCTTGGCCCTCTGTATTCCTCTTTCAAAAAGTGTCTATTTAGGTCCTTTGTCCACTTTTTTTATTGGATTGTTTATCTTCCTTTTGTTAAGTTGTATAAGTTCCATGTAAATTTTGGAGATTAAATCTTTATCAGAGATAACATTGGCAAATATGTTCTCCCATGCAGTGCACTTTCTTGTTTTGTTGATGTTTTCTTTTTCTGTGAAGAAGCATATTATTTTGATGCAGTCTCATTTATTTCCTCCTTAGTTTCCATTGGTCTAGGAGCTGTATCATAAAGATATTGCTATGATATATGTCCACTATTTTGTTGCCTGAGTTCTTCTAAGATTTTTATGGTTTCCCATCTTACATTTAAGTCCTTTATTCATTTTGAATTTACTTTTGTGTATGGTGTATGTTGGTGGTCTAAGTTCATTTTTCTGCATGTATCTGTTCAATTTTCCCAAAACCATTGATTGAAGAGATTGTTATGACTACATTGAATGCTCTTGCCTCCTTTGTCAAATATTAATTGAGCATAGTGGTTTGGGTGGATTTCTGGATTCTCTGTTCTGGTCTATATGTCTGTTCTTGTACCAGTACCAAGCAGTTTAGAGAACAGCAATTTTGTAATATAGCTTGATATCTGGTATTGTGATCCCTCCAACTTTGTTCTTCTTTCTCAGCATTGCTACTGCTATTCAGGGTCTTTTTATTCCATATGAATTTTTGGAGAGTTTGTTCTAGGTCTGTGAAATATGTCATTGTTATCTTAATGGAGATTGCATTGAACCTATAGAGTGTTTTGGGTAGTATGGCCATTTTAATGATGTTTATTCTACCAATCCATGAACAAGGTATATTCTGCCATTTGTTTATGTCTTCTGCTATCTCTTGTTTCAACATCCTACAGTTTTTCTTCCTTTCCCCCCCAGTTTATTTCAGTCTTTTTTAGTATTACAAATAGTAGTACATATGTATCCTTTTTTCTCCAATTGGTCTTCCCCCAACCTCCCCTACTGCCCGGCATATGCCCTCACCCTCCTCCCAGTGTCTTGCGTCCATTGGTTATGCTTATATGCATGCATACAATTCCTTCAGTTGATCTATTTCCTCCTCCCGACCTGCAATCCTCCCCAGCATTCCCATTGTGATTTGACAGTCTGTTCGATGCTACTCTGCCTCTGTATCTATTATTGTTTATCAGTTTATAATGTACTTTTTAATTTATAAATGTGTGAGACCATGTGATATTTTTCTTTCACTGGTTGGCTTATTTCACTTAGCATAATGCTCTCCAGTTCCATCCATGCTATTGCTAATGGTAAGAATTCCTTCTTTTTTATAGCAGTGCACTATTCCATTATGTAGATGTACCACAGTTTCCCAATCCACTCATCTGCTGATGGGCATTTAGGCTGTTTCAAAATCTTAGCTATTGTTAATTATGCTGCTATAAACATAGGGGTGCATATATCCTTTCTGATTGGTGTTTCTGTTTTCTTGGGATATATTCCTAGAATTGTATTACTGGGTCAAATGCCAGGTCCATTTTTAAATTTTTGAAGAAACACAATACTGTTTTCAACACTGGCTTAACCAGTCTACATTCCCAATAGCAGTGAAGTTCCTTTTTCTCCACATCCTCTGCAGAACTTGTGGTTTGTTAATTTGTTGGTGATAGCCATTCTGACAGGTGTGAGGTGGTACCTCATTGTTGTTTTGATTTGTATCTCTCAGATGATTAGTGACTGAGCATGTTTTCATGTGTCTCTTGGCTTTCTGAGTGTCCTCTTTCAAAAAGATTCTATTTAGGTCCTTTGCCCATTTTTTCATTGGGTTGGTTATGTTCCTTTTCTTAAGTTGTATGAGTTCCATGTAAATGTTGTAGATTCAACTCTTATCTGAGATAACATTGGCAAATAGGTTCTCCCATGCAGTGGGATTTCTTGTTGTTTTGCTAGTGGTATCTTTTTCTGTGCTTAAGCTTATTGTTTTCATGTAGTCCCATTTGTTTATTTTTCCTTGGTTTCCATTGCTGTGGGAGCTGTATCTTTAAATATATGACTATGACAAATGTCTGCTATTTTGCTGCCTATGGCTTCTTCTAAGATTTTTATGGTTTCCCATCTTATATTGAAGTCCTTTAATCATTTTGAGTTTATTTTTGTGTATGGTGTAATTTGGTGGTCTAGGTTCTTTTTTTTTTTTTTTTTTTTTTTTTGCAAGTATATGTCCAGTTTTTCCAATACCATTTATTGAAGAAACCTTTCTTGACTCCATTGTATGGTCTTGTTTCCTTTGTCAAATATTAATTGTGCATAATGATTGTGTCAATTTCTGGGTTCTCTGTTCTGTTTCACTGGTCTAT